TACCGTGTCCAAGTACAGTTCTATGCATAAACAATGCAGCTTGTTCGACTTTTTTGGCAGCACCTGCAACACACTGGAACTGCAAGCGCTGATGTGAACTATGACATTGACAACCATATAACTAGAGATGAGCGAATCGAACTAAGCGAAGTGGAATTCGTTTCGAATATTAGGAAAATTTCGATTCGCGACGAATCCGAAAATTAGCAGACTTCGGATGCGCAAATCGAAATTTTTCCTAAAATGGCGGCGACATGTGCGGCGACGGAGCGGGGATGTCTGGGAAGGCGCGCAGACAAGGCGCGCTGACCCATAATGCATTCATTCATGACATGTGATCGCATTAGCCAATCAGCAGCCAGCCAGCCAGCACTGTGTAATGGTCGAGCTATAAATGGCGGCCATTTTAGAATTCTCCATTTGCCTCCAGTCATTCAAGAGAGGCAGAGCTGTCTGTATTGAGGGAGAGAGTTAGGGCCAGAGAAACGTTACTTAGGGCCAGAGAAACGTTACTTAGGGCCACAGAATTGTTACTTAGGGCCACAGAATTGTTACTTAGGGACACAGAATCGTTACTTAGGGCCACAGAAACGTTACTTAGGGCCACAGAATCGTTACTTAGGGCCACAGAATTGTTACTCAGGGAAAGGCACAGAATTGTTACTAAGGGACACAGAATTGTTACTCAGGGGACACAGAATTGTTACTCAGGGACAGACACAGAATTGTTACTGAGGGACAGACACAGAATTGTTACTGAGGGACACAGAATTGTTACTGAGGGACACAGAATTGTTACTGAGGGACACAGAATTGTTACTCAGGGACAGACACAGAATTGTTACTGAGGGACACAGAATTGTTACTCAGGGACAGACACAGAATTGTTACTGAGGGACAGACACAGAATTGTTTACTGAGGGACACAGAATTGTTACTCAGGGACACAGAATTGTTACTGAGGGACACAGAATTGTTACTGAGGGACACAGAATTGTTACTCAGGGACACAGAATTGTTACTCAGGGACAGACAGGGACAGACACAGAATTGTTACTGAGGGACACAGAATTGTTACTGAGGGAAACAGAATTGTTACTGAGGGAAACAGAATTGTTACTCAGGGACACAGAATGGTTACTCAGGGACACAGAATGGTTACTCAGGGACACAGAATTGTTACTCAGGACAGACACAGAATTGTTACTGAGGGACACAGAATTGTTACTGAGGGAAACAGAATTGTTACTCAGGAACACAGAATTGTTACTCAGGGACACAGAATTGTTACTCAGGGACACAGAATTGTTACTCAGGGACAGACACAGAATTGTTACTGAGGGACACAGAATTGTTACTCAGGGACACAGAATTGTTACTCAGGGACACAGAATTGTTACTGAGGGACACAGAATTGTTACTCAGGGACACAGAATTTTTACTCAGGGACAGACACAGAATTGTTACTGAGGGACAGACACAGAATTGTTACTGAGGGACACAGAATTGTTACTGAGGGACACAGAATTGTTACTCAGGGACACAGAATTGTTTACTCAGGGACAGACACAGAATTGTTACTGAGGGACACAGAATTGTTACTGAGGGACACAGAAGTGTTACTGAGGGACACAGAATTGTTACTGAGGGACACAGAATTGTTACTCAGGGACAGACACAGAATTGTTACTCAGGGACACAGAATTGTTACTCAGGGACACAGAATTGTTACTCAGGGACACATAATCGTTGAATTAAAGAGTATGTCAGACAACATGCAGAGGAGTGGCAGAGGAGGCAATGTTTTAGGAGCGAGCAGACGTGGCAGCAGAGGAAGGGGTCGAGGCAGCACTAGTCGCAGCCAGAGGCCATTGCTCCCGGTGTCATCCAGCGGTCGTGTCTCCACCGACAACCCTGCCGTCATCGATTGGTTGGCTCGGTCGTCTTCCTCTTCCCAGGTCACCTCTGACACCTACAGCCAACGGTCGGTGGGTACGTCAGACACAACCGTTAGTTGGCATGGCCCGGGAGCAAGCCCACTGAAATCACGTGTCCTCTACCTGCCCCTGTCCTTTGGTGTTCCCTCACCAAGCGAAGTATCGCATGCTGTGGGCTCAGCCCCACTGTACAGTGAGGAAGAGCTAACAGAGGGCGGTCAGGAACGGGGGGAGACATCCGCCTCTTCAGCAGCCAGGCGAAGAAGTAGTGGCGAGGAGAGTGGCTCGGTAGCCGGTCTAGAGACAGGTCTGTCTCCTGACCCACACGCAGCCGAGGGGGCTAGTAGTGAGGCAGAGACCCTAATTGATGATGATGAGGCTGATCGCACTTGGCAGCCTCGTCGTCGTCATCAGGCTATTGCTTCCGCATCATCAGGAGAAGAGGGTGGCAGCTTGGCAGCGAGCAAAACAGTCGGTGGGTTGCCCAGGAGGCAGCAGGGTCGCAGCAGTGTCAGTGGAGGCAAACGGCCATGGAGTAGAGCACCAGCTCCACTGCAGCCTACCACCACGGCCAGTAGTGGTGCCGGTGTGCACGGAGGAAGTAGCAGTCAGCCAGTGAGGAGTAGCGGGGGCAAAGTTTCCTACTCGGCGGTGTGGCAATTTTTCGTCAAGCCGCCCGAGGAAGTAAACGTAGCCGTATGTCGACTATGTGGCCAGAAAGTCAAGCGTGGCCAGGGGGCCCATGTTGGGACTACAGCGTTGCGGCAGCATATGCAGCGTCGCCATTTGGTGGCCTGGGAAAAACCGTGATAAAGATACGGCGGTTCTGCCTGCCCCAGCCCCCACTCCATCACCCGCTCCGTTACTTGCTCCGTCACCCGACGTCAATCGCCCTCTATCAGCCAGTCAAGGCTCCAACACCTCTGCTGAGGGGAGTTGTCGCTCGTTGGCATCTTCCGCTCGTTCAGATGCTCCTTCTCCTGCTTCACGGATTCCGTCAGCAGTCTTTCTTGGAATCCATTTCCAAGAGACAGCAGTTTGCGAGCACGCATCCGACGGTGCAAAAGCTGAACGTCCTCCTGTCCAAGTTGCTGGTGCTGCAGTCCCTCCCTTTCCAAGTGGTAGACTCAGCACCTTTCCGAGAAATGATGGCTTGTGCCGCGCCGTGGTGGAGAGTGCCAAGCCGTCATTTCTTCGCCAAAAAGGTAGTGCCAGCCCTGCATTCACATGTAGAAGAGATGGGGGGCCAGTCTTTGAGCATGTCGGTCTCTGCCAAAGTGCACGGCAGCGCCGACGTGTGGAGCTGTAACTACGGTCAGGGACAGTACATGTCATTTACGGCCCACTGGGTGAACGTGGTGCCGGCGCAGCCGCACCAGCAACTTGGACAGGTCACGCCGCTTTTGCCTCCACGTTTGCACGTCCTTGGTCCACAAAAGATGTCCGCCTCTACCACCCTCTTCTTCCGCCGTGTCCTCAGCCGCCACCCCCGTGCCAAGTCCCATTACCCGACCGGCATATCACATGTGCAGGGCGCAACGGTGTCACGCTGTGCTGCACCTGGTATGCCTTGGCGAACGTAGTCACACAGGGGAGGAACTTCTGAGTGTAATGAACAGAGAAATCGACAGATGGCTGTCTCCGCGCAAACTGAAAATCGGAACCATGTTGACCGACAAGGAAAGAACATGGTGTCTGCTCTGCGTCAAGGAAGGTTGTGCCATGCGCCATGCATGGCTCACGTGTTCAATCTGGTTGTCAAGCGGTTCCTAAAATCCACCATCCCACTGCAAGACATCCTTAAAATGTCACGTAAACTTTGCATGCATTTCAGCCATTCCTACACCGCAAAGCACACCCTCCTTGGGCTGCAGCGGCAGAACAGAATTCCACAGCATCGCCTGATCTGCGACGTTGCAACAAGGTGGAATTCAACCCTACACATGTTAGACCGCCTTTACGAACAGCGAAAGGCCATCACCGATTTCCTGATGTTACAAGCGGATAAAGGTACTCCCCTATGTAACTTAGATGTCAGCCATTGGCAGCTCATGCGTGACACCTGCCGCTTGCTCAGGCCCTTTGAGGAGGCCACGCTATTCGTGAGTCGGCAGGACTATGGGATGAACGACGTCATTCCTCTGTTGCACGTCCTGGAACAAATGCTGTTAACAATGGCTGGTCAGGGTGCGGTAGACGTGGCGCACAGATCTCAACGCCACATGACCCCTGTGGGGGCAGGACAGGAAGAAGAGGAGGAGGTAGAGGAGGACATTTGTGCTCAGGAATTATCCCCTTGACTACTGGGCAACGAAACTTGACCTTTGGCCCCAACTAGCTGAATTTGCCCTTGAAAGGCTGTCATGCCCGGCCAGTAGCGTGGCATCTGAGCGCCTGTTTAGTGCGGCAGGAGGTATTGTAACTCCGCGGAGGACACGACTGTCCACCCAAAGTGTGGAGAGACTCACGTTTGTGAAAATGAATCAGGCGTGGATTAGTCTGGATTTCAAACCACCAGTTCCTGACACAACTGACTAAATCCGCCATGAATCATGCCCGAAACATGTGCCACTTTCAGGTCTCCTCCCACTGCTGGTGTGTTCCATTTTTTATCATAGGGTGCTGGCAGATTACGGGCCTCCCATTGCTGCTGCCAGGCCCGTAATCTGCCATGGGCCCCTGTACCACCTCTTCATGCTGCTGCCAGGTCCAGAGTGTCTCATGGGTCCCTGTACGGCCTCCATTGCTGCTGTCTCCATCGCCACACTCTGCCATGTGCCACTTTCAGGTCTCCTCACACTGCTGGTGTGTTCCATTTTTTGTCATAGGGTGCTGGCAGATTACGGGCCTCCCATAGCTGCTGCCAGGCCCCTAATCTGCCATGGGCCCCTGTACTGCCTCCTTATGCTGCTGCCAGGTCCACAGTGTGTCATGCCATGTGCCACTTTCAGGTCTCCTCACACTGCTGGTGTGTTCCATTTTGTCATAGAGTGCTGGCAGATTACGGGCCTCCCATTGCTGCTGCCAGGCCCGTAATCTGCCATGGGCCCCTGTACCGCCTCCTCATGCTGCTGCCAGGTCCACAGTGTCTCATGGGTCCCTGTACGGCCTCCCATTGCTGCTGTCTCCATCGCCACACTCTGCCATGTGCCACTTTCAGGTCTCCTCACACACTGCTGGTGTGTTCCATTTTTTGTCATAGGGTGCTGGCAAATTACGGGCCTCCCATTGCTGCTGCCAGGCCCGTAATCTGCCATGGGCCCCCGTACCACCTCCTCATGCTGCTGCCAGGTGTCCCACAGTGTGTCATGCCATGTGCCACTTTCAGGTCTCCTCACACTGCTGGTGTGTTCCATTTTGTCATAGAGTGCTGGCAGATTACGGGCCTCCCATTGCTGCTGCCAGGCCCGTAATCTGCCATGGGCCCCTGTACCGCCTCCTCATGCTGCTGCCAGGTCCACAGTGTCTCATGGGTCCCTGTACGGCCTCCCATTGCTGCTGTCTCCATCGCCACACTCTGCCATGTGCCACTTTCAGGTCTCCTCACACTGCTGGTGTGTTCCATTTTTTGTCATAGGGTGCTGGCAGATTACGGGCCTCCCATAGCTGCTGCCAGGCCCCTAATCTGCCATGGGCCCCTGTACTGCCTCCTTATGCTGCTGCCAGGTCCACAGTGTCTCATGGGTCCCTGTACGGCCTCCCATTGCTGCTGTCTCCATCGCCACACTCTGCCATGTGCCACTTTCAGGTCTCCTCACACACTGCTGGTGTGTTCCATTTTTTGTCATAGGGTGCTGGCAAATTACGGGCCTCCCATTGCTGCTGCCAGGCCCGTAATCTGCCATGGGCCCCCGTACCACCTCCTCATGCTGCTGCCAGGTCCAGAGTCTCTCATGGGTCCCTGTACGGCCTCCCATTGTTGCTGTCTCCATCGCCACACTCTGCCATGTGCCACTTTCAGGTCTCCTCACACACTGCTGGTGTGTTCCATTTTTTTGTCATAGGGTGCTGGCAGATTACGGGCCTCCCATTGCTGCTGCCAGGCCCGTAATCTGCCGTGGGCCCCTGTACCACCTCCTCATGCTGCTGCCAGGTCCACAGTGTGTCATGCCATGTGCCACTTTCAGGTCTCCTCACACTGCTGGTGTGTTCCATTTTGTCATAGAGTGCTGGCAGATTACGGGCCTCCCATTGCTGCTGCCAGGCCCGTAATCTGCCATGGGCCCCTGTACCGCCTCCTCATGCTGCTGTCTCCATCGCCACACTCTGCCATGTGCCACTTTCAGGTCTCCTCACACACTGCTGGTGTGTTCCATTTTTTGTCATAGGGTGCTGGCAGATTACGGGCCTCCCATTGCTGCTGCCAGGCCCCTAATCTGCCATGGGCCCCTGTACCGCCTCCTCCTCCCCATTGCTGCTGCCAGGAGGCAGCAGGGGTTGCAGCAGTGTCAGTGGAGGCAAACGGCCACAGAGTAGAGCACCAGCTCCACTGCAGCCTACCACCACGGCCAGTAGTGGTGCCGGTGTGCACAGAGGAAGTAGCAGTCAGCCAGTGAGGAGTAGCGGGGGCAAAGTTTCCTACTCGGCGGTGTGGCAATTTTTCGTCAAGCCGCCCGAGGAAGTAAACGTAGCCGTATGTGACTATGTGGGCCAGAAAGTCAAGCGTGGCCAGGGGGCCCATGTTGGGACTACAGCGTTGCGTCAGCATATGCAGCGTTGCCATTCGGTGGCCTGGGAAAACCGTGATAAAGATACGGCGGTTCTGCCTGCCCCAGCCCAGGGTTCCATTTGCTGGTGTGTTCAATTTTTTGTCATAGGGTGCTGGCAGATTACGGGCCTCCCATTGCTGATGCCAGGCCTTAATCTGCCATGGGCCCCTGTACCACCTCCTCATGCTGCTGCCAGGTCCACAGTGTCTCATGGGTCCCTGTACCGCCTCCCATTGCTGCTGTCTCCATCGCCACACTCTGCCATGTGCCACTTTCAGGTCTCCTCACACTGCTGGTGGGTTTCCATTTTGTCATAGGGTGCTGTATGGCCTCCCATTGCTGCTGCCAGGCCCGTAATCTGCCATGGGCCCCCGTACCGACTCCTCATGCTGCTGCCAGGCCCGTAATCTGTCATGGGCCCCTGTTGTCGCTTGTTGGCATATTCCGCTCGTTCAGATGCTCCTTCTCCTGCTACTCCTCTTCATGGATTCCGTCAGCAGTCTTTCTTGGAATCCCTTTCCAAGAGACAACAGTTTGCGAGCACGCACCCGACGGTGCAGAAGCTGAACGTCCTCCTGTCCAAGTTGCTGCTGCCAGGCTCGTAATCTGTCATGCGCCCCTGTACCGCCTCCTCATGCTGCTGCCTGCCAGGTCCAGAGTGTGTCATGGGCCCCCTGTACCGACTCCTCATGCTGCTGCCAGGCCCGTAATCTGTCATGGGCCCCAGTACCGCCTCCTCATGCTGCTGCCAGGTCCAGAGTGTGTCATGGGTCCCTGTACGGCCTCCCATTGCTGCTGTCTCCATCGCCACACTCTGCCATGTGCCACTTTCAGGTCTCCTCACACTGCTGGTGGGTTCCATTTTGTCATAGGGTGCTGTATGGCCTCCCATTGCTGCTGCCTCCACCGCCACACTGTGGCTCCACACTCTGGTTTTGGCCCCGTGACTGCCCAAATGAGTGAAGTGTGCGGTGATTCTAAGATCGACGGCACTCATCTGCATGTCATACTGACTGACAGTATTATTTCTCTTCCCCAGCAGACTCCAAGGGCATTTAAATTAAAGATACAGTGTTCTGCACATATAAAAGGCTCTCTGAAGCCTAGAAACACCCTTTTATAAGTTAAATTCGACTCGAATCGAAATTTTTTCACGAATTCGCCGAATCAGTCTAATCGAATTTTTGAAATAATTCGCTCATCTCTACATATAACCTTCTTTCTGTGCGTTTTGGATGCAAAAAAAGACACTGAAACACACATAGTGTGAACTGGCCCTAAAGGTTATTATAGGTAAGGGAACTGGACTGACCAGGAACTGTGAATTCAATCAGACTAGTGGTGAGATACAATCAAAAGGCCCTATAGTGTTTGACAGGTGTTCGGGAAGTGGTTTTAACGCTCCTCAAATGCTCCCCAAACGCCCTAAGCACTGTTTTGAGGCATTTGATAGGTGTTTGGCAAGCGTTAAAACTGCACCACAAATACCTGTACTGAAGTTAAATGGTATTAACGCTCCGTAAACGCCTTGCAACCACACCGCAAATGTCTGCCAGGCATTTGAGGAGCGGCACCATAGACTTGAATGGGAGGCTTCAACTCCTCCTGAATCAATCTGGAGCCAATTTTGCCGCGACGCAACGCTAACGCTTCAGTGTGAACAGCACTGTGTGCAGAATTTTTATAGGCGTTTGAGAAGCATTAAAAACGCTTCCCAAACGCTTGTCTGACGCCTGCTGACAAAGTTGGTGTGAACGTAGCCTAAGAGAAGAGAAACAAAGTAGTAATGAAATATAAACAGAAGGAAAATTGAAAGTTTCAAACTTGCCAGAAGAACAGGACGCAGGTAAGATTCATTCCCATTGATTTGATCAATATTCCTGGCACTGACAGAACCCTGGAAATTGATATCCATATTTTGGGCATTCACAAATGTCAAGGAGCTTACAATCTAAGGCCAGAAACTCAGACATATATTAGCCCAATTAACCTAACAGCATGTCTTTGGAGTGTTGGCAGAAACACACCTGTGCAGAGAAAGTATGCAAGTTCCAGACAGGTCAGCCATGACTGGGATTAGAACCCGTGACCCAAGTGCTGTAAGTCCTACGTACTAACCACTAAGCTATTGTAGGAGGCAGAGTTTGAGCTGAAATGTAGAATAGTTACATGATTAAAGAGAAGGAAGATATATAATTATATTGGGAAATTAGAACTAGACATTCAAATTATTTGATATAAAAGTGTGAAAATGTTTGACATTTGAAATTAGAATGTATGACATTCATTAGGAAATGCATTAGTTGGCCGATCATTTTTGGAGAAACAGCAAAAAAAAAAAAATTATAATATAGGTGTGCTTTTTATTTTAAATTATAAGTATTCTCATATGCAAACAGAAAAACGCCAACGGGACAAAGCCCGCAGTTGTTCACGACCTAGCGAACATATCCGGTATTGCATATAGTATATATAGTATATTGTATATAGAAATGTGCCTGAGGAGATTCCGGATTTACTAACAGGAAAAGAGTCTACAAAGTAGACTTTTCAATGAGCTTGCTAGACGCCTTTCTGATGACTGACAAGTCTAGATTGATTGAATTGAGTCTGCCTGAATGTTCAGCGTCTGCTGGTAGACTCAATTCTTAGTAAATCAGGGCCTTGATGTCCACTGACTTAAGGTAGGCTACTGCGGCTATTGCTTTTACTGAAGCATCACAGAATACACATATATTGTATAATGTCTCTTTCTCTGGAGGAAGTGGAGAATTCCAATCACGTGTCTGCAGCAAGTTCTCTGAGCAAAATCTTACCTTGCACGGTCACAGGTGCTGCAAACCCGAGTAAGTCATACAGACTGTTTATTGTAGACAAGACACCTCGCTGTGTGAAAGGCTTTGGCTGCTGGTCGACCTGGAAGGTGAGGGTGTCAGACTTGAGATCCCAATTGAGTCCTAGGCTGCGCTGCATGGGTAGCAAATCTGTTGCCAAGTCTAGGTCTTTCAAATCACTGGCGTGATCTTGAGAAGGGAAGGCCTCCATAACAGCCTTGCTGTTTGAAGCTATCTTATGCAACCTAAGGTTTGAACAGGCAAGTGTGCTTTGGGTCCTCTTAAGTAGACTGCAGCCTCAGGCGATGGAAGTCACTTAAGGCCATCATCTACATAAAAGTCTCTCTCAATGAACTGTCTAACATCTTACCCATAGTCTTTCACTGCCCTGGACAGATAGCTTAAGTCCATAGATTGCAACAGCAGGCGATGGGCTGTTGCCAAAAACATGCACTTTCATGCGGTATTCTATAATGTCTTTAGTGGGGTTGCTATCCTTAAACCAGAAGAATCTCAGAATGTTCCTGTGTTCTTCCTTGACTTGAAAACTGTGAAACATTTGTTGTATCTCAGCAACTATGGCGATGGTTTCCTTGTGGAATCTGATGAGAACGCCAAGAAGTGTGTTGTTGAAATCTTGTCCTTTTAAGAGGACGTCGTTGAGAGAGATTCCTTCATACTGGGAATTGGAGTCAAATACTGCTCAGATTTTCCCTGGCTTCTTGGGGTGGTAAACACCGAAAATAGGTAGGTACCAGCACTCTTCTCTTTCAAAGGTGGGGCCACCTCTGCATGGCTGTCTTCAAACATCTTGCTCATGAACGAGAAGAAATTCTCTTTTATTCCTGGTTTCTGGTTTGTTAGGAAGTCTGTTAGGAAGGCACGGTCTCTGTGTTTTGAAAGGCAGGGAGCATCCCAGCTATTTGCATCATTTTTGTAGAATCCTTGTTCCATTATCTTCAAGAAGATCTGATCCTCAATAGATGGGGCACTATTGTGGTCTTCTTTTGTCTTTTGGAAAACTGAGC